GTCCAGAGTTAAGATATAACTTCAGTGTTGCTGCAGTCATGGGAAATAGAAATTGTGCTGCTTTTAAACATAAAAACGATTGTGGTATTGTACTGGTGCCTACTTGATTAAGATGCCAAAACTGTTTTCAGGTAGACTTTTTAATGTTCAATATTATGCAATATTAATTACAGCAAATTAATAGGATATCCAGACGTTGTCATTATTTTGTGACTTTTAATTCCACACATTGGATAATATCAAGGTAAGATATATTGGTATCATAGAATAAATTTTTCCCAATGTGGGACTGGTTCACTTTTAGTGAGAATCTTCGCAGCACTTTTTCTGTTCCTTTCTCAAAACACCCCAGTGATTGCAAGCAGGTATATGAGAATGCTACATACTTCTGATTTTACCTTTTAAAATATTTTTGCAAAACACTAGAATTCAGGAATTTCAAACATCAAGTTTAGAAATTAGTTCAACACTTCTGTTTTTAGTCCTCCAAAATGAATACTTTTAACAAAAAAAGTTACTTTAGTAGGCTTTTAGATTTTATTTATTGTTCATTTATATGGCTACCCATCTCAGACAAGTGGGCAATTAATTGGCAATTGGCAGGTATTTTAAGCTATTATCAGCCTACTTAGAATATAATGTTTACCATAGCTCAAGTTATAATATGGCTATTAAATAATGCCAAATTCATACAGTATTAGGAAGAATACTGATATGATGATAATAGGCTTTCTTTAGTGCTTATAAAACACAGGAAAACTGATACTGTTATTTTGACTCAAATTCCATAGCTGAGATGTGAATAAAACTAAAAAAAATGCAGACTCACGTGTACAAAAGCCCTGCATGCTTACACATTATTCATTATTACATTCTGGAGCCTGATAAACATAGTGGCAATGGAAGGGGGAAAAAAGGTTGTATGTCATGTATGTAGAACATCTGGGTCATATTCTACTTATTATATGTGAATTGGATGCAACTGTTAACAAAAATGAAATACACGAATGGTAATATGCTGTTAGACAAATGGATAGGGAGTGTTGTGATGCAAAAGAAGGCTTCGGCTTGATGGAAAACTGGTGAAAGAGGTAATATTGCATGTATTTTCATTATTTGAAATACAGAAAGAGCAGCATTAGCATTTTTTCTTTTTTTTAGCTAATGCCTTTGACACATTACAGTACTAAAGTTTCCTTCTCATTTTAGGAAGTTTATACTCTTTTACCTCGACCCCACCCCGCCTTAAACAAAACAAAACAAAAAACCTGTTCCCTTTTATCCACTGCTTCAATATTAGTTACTTTCTCTTATAATTTGGATGTTTGTGTACTGATTGTATCTTGTGTTTCTTTCTTTCTATTGCCACTAGCATAACCAGTTCTGCTTTTAATCCTCTTTGTCTATTCTAGCATTTTCAATACTCATACCAGTACCTTTCCATTAAATAGTGAAATTAATTCAAATCTTGGTCGGGATAATTGTAGTATCTACAAATTGTTGTCACTTCTGTAGTTACATCATTCTTGTAGTTGAATTTTTTTTAACAATCTTTTTTATTAATTTTTTTCCATCAACATATGTTAATTTTTCCAATCAACAAGTTGTCTGGAGTTTGCTAAGCTAATACATGTTCAGTTCCTAATCCTTCATTCTTTTTTCTCTAACCAAGAATAAAATAAATTCCAAATTTTATAGTAGTCCGTATCTTCTTTGTCTTTCAGCCTCATAGTTAGTCTGTCCATCTCTGCACATTCCAATATTTTCGTGATTATTTCTTCCTCTGATGGCAATCCTTCATTCTTCCAGTATTGTGCAAAAATTATTCTCGCTGCTGTGGTAATATGTAGAATTAAATATAATTTCTGCTTATCAGTCTTTTCAGACATAATGCCTAGTAAAAAAAGTTCAGGTTTAAAATCCACTTGTTCGCCCAATATTTTTTCTAACCATATATGTATGCTTTTCCAATAGGCCTTTGCCTTCCCACATGTCCACCAAATATGATAATACGAGCCTATGTTATGTTTACATTTCCAACATCTATCTGACATATTTTTAAACATTTTTGCTAATCTTGCTGGTGGAAGGTGCCATCTATAAAACATTTTATACAGATTTTCTTTATATGAATTTAACATTGTTAATTTATAGTTTCTCTCCCATAACATTTGCCATTTTTCTAATTCTATATCATAACCAAATTTTTTTGCCCATCTTATCATTGTTTCTTTCACTTGTTCACTTTCCACTTTGAGGTTAACAAAATCTTATCAAACACATTTTGATCCTTGTAAAATCCATACATTTTTACATCTTTTTCATATCTACTTTGTATCTGCAAATGTGCCCACCAGGACAAATTTATTCCTAAATTTTCCAATTCTTGTTTAGATTTTAATTTCCCATCAATATCTAAAATATCTTTATATGTCCATACTTTTTCAAAGTCTACCAGATTCGGATGTATGAATGCCTCCATCGTTGATAACCACTCTGGAATTTTTGAATATATTTTAGCTTTAATTTTTTCCCATACTCTTAACAAGGCATTTCTTATAAAATGATTTTGAAAGTACTTACTTTTTCCCATACCATAAAAAAGCATGCCACCCCAATTGTAAATCATGTCCCTCTAAATACAATAACCTTTTATTTCTGAGTGTTATCCACTCTTTCACCCATGTTAACACAGATGCTTGATAATACAATGTCCATTCCGGCAACCCAAAACCTCCATTTTCCTTAGCATCTTGTAATGTTTTCATCTTAATTCTAGCTTTTTTCCCCTGCCAAATAAAGTTCAAAACCAATGAATTTAAATTTTGAAAAAATTTTCTCTCAAGTTTTATCAGAATCGTTTGAAATAAAAATAAAATCTTCGGCAACACATTTATTTTTACTGTAGCAAGATTTTTTTTCCTCCTTTTCCTGCTCCTTCAAATGGAAAAAACCCCCTACATTTTCTTATTATTTTTAGTCTATTGCAGTATGAGTATCAATTACTACACAATTTTTCTGTTCATTTTCTGTTATCTGAGACATGACTGTATGAATGTTCTATTAAATAAGACATGTTATATTGCACATGCTTGATAATTAATCTTTCTGTTTCATTATTTATCCAAGAATACTTCATATTGCTTCTTTATAGAGTGGATATCCACCTATGGCAATACAAATATAAGACCATCCCTCACTAGGTTCTTTGTACAGATAATCCTCAGTTAATGACCATAATTGAGGCCATTGCTATGCGATGTGGTTTAAAAAAAAAATCACATACCATGCTAAGATCCGGCAATTCTGGTTGTAGTCATTAACCAAATCATGGCAATCACATGATCACAGAATGACTAACTATTGTAAGTGTTGCAACCGTAGGTCGATTGCCAAGATTGTTCACAAAAAGATGAAACATAATTAATGACTCAAATACTTTGCAAAGATTCTTACCCTTTTCCTACCTTAGATTAAATGAATCTTAGAACAATGCATATAACATGCTTTTGATAGTCAAGACTGCTACAAAAACTCTTGAGTATGATTATAATTTGATTCTGACAAAATCAAAAAATAGTCAAAACAGCATCTGCAACTCAGTAGTTAAAGACCACCTTCTTTATTACATTGCAACTTAGGTAAAACACAATTATAATGCTATCTTGGCTTTTTTTAGACCCTCCCAGATATCCCTGAATCCTGAAAAATTTTCTAAGTGTTAACATATTTAAGAAATTAATTCTAAAATAGGATGCTTAAATCCATGGAGTAAGTAGAAATGTGCTGCAGGCCACTTTAGCTGACTGTGTTCAGCAGGTCAGCGGTTCAAATCTCACCGGCTCAAGGTTGACTCAGCCTTCCATCCTTCCGGGGTAGGTAAAATGAGGACCCAGATTGTTGGGGGCAATGTAAATATATATATATATGCATTGCTTACTGGTGTACACCGCTTAGAGAGTGCCTGCACTTAAAGCGGTATATAAGTCTCATAAATAAATAAATAAATAAATGTGAAAAGGTTTTTCTGTGTTAAAAGATGTCCATGGACAGATGATTATGGGATATGCTAATATGCTGTGATTGTTGATGTTCATTAGTTAATATCTGATGGGTCCAAGTCAAGGAAGCCCTCTGTTACAACTTTATTACTTGGGGAAGGCAATATTTTGGCTTTTTGAAGAAGGAAATTATCTTGTTTTCCTTGATCTTCTGTGTTTCAGGTACATTCAGCTTTCTTTTAATTAATTTCCCCTTTCAGATTATGTTAAATAACAGATTTATTCTTTGAGTTTATCTGAAACAGATTGACGGTAAATGTGATGGACAAGCAAACTATGCAAGATAGAAAGCCATCTTAATAGAATAGTATTCTGATCCCAACAACAGAATATGTGGAGCTCTGTTATTAAGATGCTGTAATAGTGAATATGTGTGGGTATGTTTATTTCATAAACAAAGCATTGAGGATGGAGGAAGACAATAATTTAAAATAATTTTAGCAAAAATATAAATTCCAAATATTCTAAGGAAATTCTAAACTATGTTTATTAAGAATATATAGTTATAGTTTGATAGACATATAAGTCAAAAATACATAATAGATCCCGTCCCGTACTTTCATTTTTCTTTGTATTTTGTATTTTGATAAACTAATAAAAAATTTGGAACTTGAAAAAAAATACATAATAGACCAGCAGTCTGTTCGGGGTCATACCCTCTCCCCCTTGAGAAAATTCATTTTAAAAAAAGTGTTTGATTTAAAATCTCAGTAAGTATAACTAGTGGCACAGCATAGTCATAATCAAAGCGTAAATAAACAACATTATATATGGAAGCCCTATAGAAATAAAGATTATTTGCTTATGCTTGAAAGTCTGAGAAAGGAATTATTCATCCAATAAATAACTAGTGAATAGTATAAATTTAAGAGTTGTTTTCTACTGTATTCATGCCCACAATTAACTTTTAGAGATAAAAGCCTCATATTTGTGTTTCAGGCATGCTGGTCATGAAACAGATCTTATTCATGATTCTCCTGGGTGCTGGAGTAATGTATGCTGTATTACATAGTAACCTGTGGAAGACCAACAGCTTTGGGTAATGTCAATATATTCCTAGATAAGCCATCTTTTCCTTTGTCCTGATTATTTGTACACGTGGCTAAACTTTGTGAAAGACTTCTGTAATCCCTGTGACATTCAGGAGCTAGAAAGCAGGTTGCTATGTTTAGGAAGCAAAGCTGTTGAAAGGATAGAACAAAAATGAAATGCAACTTAGTGCAGAATTACTGCTGTGCAAAGTGTATGCAGGTCAAGAAGACGGACCTGGAACAATTGATTGATTCAAAGCACGACAAGGCCATATATTCTCACCCTGCTTATTTAACTTATGTGCAGAGTACATCATGTAAAATGACGGGCTGGAGGAATCGCAAGCCAGAATTAAGATTGCTGGGAGAAATAACAATAACTTCAGATATGCAGATGATATACTTTAATGGCAGAAAGTGAAGAGGAACTAAAAACCCTCTTGATGACAGTAAAGGAGGAGAGAACAAAAATTGGCTTGAAAGTAAACATTAAAAAACTAAGATCATGGTATCAAGTCACTTCACTTCCTGGCAAGTATAAAGGGAAGAAATAGAAACAGTTAACAGATTTTATTTTTTTGGGACTCCAAGATCAGTGCAGATGGTAATTTGCAGTGATGAAATTAAAAGATGCTTGCTCCTTGGGAAAAAAGCTATGGCAGATCTAGAGAGCCTATTAAAAAGCAGATATATCACCTCGTTGACAAAGGTCCATACAGTTATGGTTTTCCCAGGAATAATGTATGACTATGAAGTTGGCCTGTAAGGAAAGCTGAGCGCCAAAGAATTGATACTTTCAAATTGTGATGCTGGAGAAGACTTTTGAGAGTCCCTTAGACTAAAAATAAATTAAATCAGTTATCCTAAAGGAAATCAATCCTGATTGTTCTTTGGAAGATTAGATACTGAAGGTGAAATTCAAATACTTTGACCACTTAATAACGAGAGGACACATTGGAAAAGACCCCGATGTTGAGAAAGATTGAAGGCATAAGGAAAAGGGGATGGCAGAGGATGAGATGGTTAGCTAGTGTCATTGACCCAATGAACATGAATTTGGACAAACTCTGGGAGGACAGTGGAGGACATGGCCTGGCGTACTATGGTCCATGGGTTGTGAAGAGTTGGACATGACTTAGCCATAAACAAGTGCCTCATTGTTTTGCCACAGTAGATTCAGGGACTAGGAGGCAATGAACATACAAATGAAAGGAAAATTAAAGTGATTTATTAAATAAGTTAATGGAAATCAAAAGCTCTAGTTAAAAAAATGTAAAGAAGAATGATGTGGAGCTAAAAATAACATAGATCCCTTCTGCTGCCAAGTACAGATAGTCCTTGACTTACAACAGTTCATTTAGTGACTATTCAAAATTACAATGGCACTGAAAAAAAGACTTATGACCATTTTTTACACTTAGGTGGTTGCACCATCCCCATGGTCACATGATCAAAATTCAGATGCTTGGCAAGTGGTTCATATTTATGATGGTTGTAGTGTTCTGGGCTCATGTTATCAGCTTTTGTGACCCTCTGACAAGCAAAGTCAATGGAGAATCCAGATTCACTTAACAACCATGTTACTAACTTAACAAATGCAATAATTCACTTAGCAACTATGGCAAGAAAATGGGCAAACTCACTTAACAAATGTTTCACCCAGCAGCATAAATTTGGGAGTCAATTGTGGTTGTAACTTGAGGACTACCTGTACTCCTTTCTCAATGACACAAACCCCAAGGCTCATAGATAGTTATCCCCTTGCAGGAGCTTTTGTAGGCTAGAGGGGCTGTGTAATATGAACTGCCTTTGGACCTCAAAAAGTCCCTGAAACACCAGGGTTTGTCTCAATATGCCAGACAGCTGGAACACCAACATGGATGCTTGTGAGTAAACTAAATGGGGGAATGCATTGATCCCATATCCTGTCATGTTTCTGGGGCGTTAAACTTTTACAGTCCTTGTGGGAAAAACACATGAGCTTAGCTTTGTTGAATTGGGGGTGGGAGGTGTTCCTGCCTTGCTGCAGCTGCTTTCCTCAAGCGCAGACAGCAACTCCATTCCCTCACAATTCCTTATATTTGTTTATCAAGTGCTAGATAGTACCAACTCAAAGATTTTCCTCCTCCTTTCAGGTGCCTGACTTTGACAGGAACACCTTTTAGAAATGAATGACATTTTATTTGGTTTATATAGTTACCCAATTTGTAAAAGCAACTCTGGGTGGCTTACAAAGATAAGGGTATTAAAAACAAAACACAAAAAATATCCAGAAGAGAAAAACAGTAACAATATCCAAGGCCGAGTGTTGCATATTCTATTCAATATGCATTGAACATTCAACATTTCTAGACGGGCTGATACCACACTCTGACCAATATCCCTGAAAACAGGTCTTCAGGACCTTCTGGAACGCCATTAGAGTTGGGACCATCTGGATATTAGAGGAAATGGGAAAGCACTGTGGCAGAAAAGGCATGCTTCCTGTGTCTCACCAAGGAACCGAAATGTCCAGTTCTGCCAGATCTTATGGGACCAGCAGAGGCAATTGGAAACAGGAAGCTCCACAAATAACTCAGTCTTGTACTTGGAAGAATTTTATAGGTGATAACCAGTCCCTTGAATTGCACCAGAAGTCTTTAGATAATGGGTACATTTCCCAAAGTAGTAAAGTTATGTCAGCATACTGAGCTGTACTCAGTGTATAAGATGGATTTGGGCAAAGCTGCATTTCTTATGGTCCACTTATTCACTGGTAACCATGAGATTCTCTTGCACTGCCCCCTGCCATAGAGTGCTGGGACCTATTAAATTGGTCCACCCTTGGTGACTTATGGTCCCGGATGTGTTCTAGAGAGAGCTGGGAGTTGTTCCTGATGGTCTGCTGTATGGTCTAAATGAGGCTTGGCCTTGATCATCACTTGGCATGAGAGGGTGGCAAAGCTTTCAATTGGTTTGCACCCCTGCAACCGCTTTCCTCCTATGGGTTCTCATCACTCATCATGGTTTATAAAATAGTTGAGGCAAAGGAAATGGGAGAAGAACCATCTAGAGCAGTGATCCTCAACCTTTCTAGTGCCATGACCCCATAATACAGTTCCCCATGTTGTGGTGACCCCCAAGTGGGTGTGGCCACCAATAAGAGGGAGTAGGACAGCTAGGGAAAAGGGAAAAAATGGCGGACAGCATGGTTTGGCGACCCCCGTGAAATGGTCATTCGACCCCAAATGGGGTCCCGACCCACAGGTTGAGAACCACTGATCTAGAGTATTACTGGAGATCATTAAAGGATGAACTCAGTTGAACATGGGTTAGAACTGCCTTGGTCTTGAGGTCAGGGCTGTGAAGCATAAGTACTTCTTCATCCTAATTGTGTTTGCAGATAACTATCTGCTGGCTCTGTTTAACCTAAGCCGTCTTGGGTAGAGGGTCCTTGTAGATTTACCTGCACAGATATGCAAAGGAATTTGCAAGGCATCTATCAGACAAAATTGCTTGGATTCATTCCCAGGTAGATGTCAGCCTTGGTGGAGGTCCTGTGGAGATACTTTGGACATGTTATTTGGGAATGGTTTGAAGCTGTGAGCCTAAGGAACTGGACAGGTACCTTACAGTTGTGAGCTTGGCCACTTGCTCTTTATATCCATGTCTCTCCTGACTAGCTAAGGATGCCCAGGAAGTGACATGTGGTTGAGTTCTGGTGGTAGCAAACTCTTCCTAGAGAGGGGATTGTTTCTTCACCTCTTAAAGAGGTGTTGGTTTGTCCCCTTTGCAAAATGCCATTGCTAGATTATCTTCATCCAGCATCCAACCTCCCTTAGGGAAAATGGTAGAAAAAGTAGTTGCACAGCAGTTTCAGCAGATCATGAATGAAGTTGTCTAGGATCTGTCCTTTCCCCAGATTTCAGAGGAGCATTTTATGCCCAACTTTCCCACCTGGCCAAGTAGAAGGCATGCTGTGAAAGTTAGGATGTAGTGGTGAACCCATGACTTTATATATTTTTCCTTGGTCCTATCTGATGATGCTGAGACTTTTAATAATGGCTTTATTTTTACTTGAGGGTTTTTTTGTCATTAGCCACTTGGGCCTCCAGGAATGAGTAGCAGGCAAGTATAGTAAATAAATATTATAGCTCCAGTTGTAGACTAATTTCATTTTTTGAGTCTTCTAGGACCATTGGATTATGTGGTATGTAAATAAATACTTTAAAATAAACACTTTTAAATAATATCACCAAGGGTATCGAAACATAGGCCAGATTGTTTTCTATCAGAAATGCTTTAACAAATCCTGCCCCTGAGCGAGAGGTTGGAATAGATGATTTCTACAGCCCTTTCCAACTTGATGATTATTAATTTTAAGTATAATTTTTCCTACCAAAATCATTGCTAGATATACTTGGTGTAACCTAAGAGAAATAAGTAGAATTGTTTGTAACTGGCAATTTGCTCTTTATATTTTACCAATGGAATTACCTATTTCTAAAAAGCATTAGCAGGTTAAACTATCAAATTTTATATAAAATGGAATCATCAACTTCTGTCAGTCTATTTTAATACAATCTCTTCTTCCTTTTCTAGATTGTCCTCTCTGGATAGAAAACATTGTGGTTTCAAAAACAATGTTTCTACTTTCATAAAGTGAGTAAGAAAAGAAAATGATGAAAATATTTAGACTAGTGATAGGGCTACATTCCCCTGAAGAACAAGCTCAGAACCTTCCACATGACCCTTATCAAGTCAGAGAGAGTTTAAATTCAATTGCCTACTAATGAAGACTTATCCAAAGGTACAGCAACTTAAAATTCTAGAGCAGGGGTCTCCAAACTTGGCAATTTTAAGTCTTTTGGACTTCAACTCCCAGAATTCTCCAGTCAGCAGGTTTGGAGATCCCTGCTCTAGAGTATAGATTACTATAATCTAAAAAAGCACCAATATCAATTGAACTGTGCCATGCCTAAACCAATATAATACTGACAGAGAACATTCCAAGTGCATTTTGGGCAGAAATGGCTACAAGAATCTCTTTTGTCATTAGAAATAAGGTTTGCCAGGTTTAACTTCTGACTTTTACTAGTACAAATGTTTTTACATCCGCAGGCTTTTCTCGCCTGTAGAACTGCATTTTTAGTTTATTTTTTTAATTGATCATTTTGTTTATGCATTTCCAAAATGCAAATTGTTGAGGGGAGGGTGAGGGGGGGAATTCTTAGGATTTCAGATAGCAAATCTTTTCTGTCTTCCTGAAGATATGGGACATCAAATGTTACCCTTTGTGCATATAAAGCAAATGTTCTAATTTTACTATTGGGCTTGATTGGGATAGGGCTAGGGTAGGGCTTTCTATATCATGTTACTTAAAGTAGTTGTGTTATCTCTTATTATTTATATTGGTACTACTGTACTGAAATATTTTATTTCCAAATGAATTTGCTTTTTCATTAAATGCAGATTTAAATTGCAAATTTGTGTCAAGTCACTATGAAATCAAAAACATAGAAGGTTAGTTTGATAGGAAGATTGTGCCATTGTTCTATTAGCAGCAGTAAAATTCAGGGTGAAAAGATATCAGTGTCAGAGAATCAATTTCAGGAAAGAAGTTCTAATTCAAGAGAAAAAGGGACCCTGTATTATGTAAGTGATATAATAACATATTTTTTCCACAAAATACCTATTCTTCTTCAAAGTGAATGGACCATCTGTTTAGAAATATAATTTCAAATATGGGTTCTAATAAACACAAATAAGCAGTGACAAAAAGTATCTTTTGAAATCTGATTTGTTACCTTAGACATGTGTATGGTATGTAGATTAAAAGTTCTGATGAAATGTAAGTTTCTAAATATTTCTATGATTTTACAAACTGAATTTTGCAGAATAAAAATGTCCTAATACTGAAGGGCTAATACTGCAAAAAGAGCCACCAATTGCATACATTTGGTCAACTCCTTAAATAGTTAAAGAAGCCAGACATGCTCCAGATATACTCTTAACTCTACCCCTTAATCCCAAATCTTTGTGCACATTATTTTGTCATGGGCATATCATAATGTATTATTGGGAATGGAACAACTTGTCATGGCCAATTTGCTGCAGCCAACTCACCATGGGCAACTTGCCGTGGGACATTTAATTTATTTATTTAATTATTTAAAATAAAATAAATAAAGTTGTCCCGTGACGAGTTGGCCATGGTGAATTGTCATAGACCCCATATTATTACATCTGCTTATTGCAAACATAAGGTGTACTGAAATAAGGTATAATACTTCATCTTTTAAATAAATCAAATAAACACATGTTCACAATTTTAGCATTGTTTTCATTGAATATATTTATCTTGAAGTTGTAGTTATTTACTTAACATATATTGAAGCCTCCATGGATTTCTTTCTCTATTACTTTGTATCAAAGTAGGAAACTGTTTGGAAAATGCTTACTTCATTGTATATTGGGTGTTCCCTATTCTGAAAAAACAATTTTTAAAATTTTTGGGGAAGTCACCAACTTCCCAAATAACTGACATAGTTATTGATATAACAACAATGTTCTAAAACTCCATCTTCAGTTTATAGAAATAAAGCTATTTTATAGTTGTATCCAACATATAAGAACTAGTTTGGTGAAGTAGTTAAGGTACAGATTAGAAATCAGGAGACAGTGTGTTCTAGTTCTGCATTAGTCATGAAGCGTGACCTTGGAAGTCATTCTCAGTTCCAGGAAGAAGACAGTGGCAAACCACTTGTCATTGCTTTCTTGTTGATCTTGCCAAGATAACCGCAGAGACTAATCCAGGCAGTTATAATGAGTAACACTGATTCAAATGCATATATGTATATACATTATCTGAGGGCCAGAGATAAAATAGCTGATCTGGTTATAGATATATTTCACAATGTACACCTGAGGATGTAAACAAACTGCTTACAAGTGTGGGGCATTTCATATGCTTCATTCATGAATCTGTTTGTCTTGAAAGTGGAAATAATGAATTCCTAATTTGTACAATTGACCAGAACAAGTATTATCCAGGAGCTGGTGTATTATTTTTGAGCAAATTCTTAGAGCAGGCAGTATGTTCATGTGAGGGTCTGTTTCATTATACTGAAATCCTAATAAGATGCCTGGCCGTCTTACTCATCACATTTCATTAGACAGTATGGATATCAGAGAAAATGCCTTTTCAATTTTCACCCTATATTTCTGGAATAAGTCTTTCAAAAATGTGTCTGTGTTCTTACAGAAAATCTTAATTTTGTTGTTATTTCAGTAATTTTTTGTATTTATGTCTGTCAAGAATCTATTACAATTGTTATTTGCCTTTTTTGGGTTGTTTAATTATTATATTAAGAGTTTAATTGGTGAGAAATAGGGTAGTCTGAAAAACAGCGTAAAGTAACCACATAAATATAAATAGGCATTTTCCCCTTCTCTTTAGGATGGATAAGTTATGTCCTTTCTTGTGCAAAAGTAATTTTTTTGATATATCTGCAAGTCGTGGAAGTAATAAGTTTGAACTACCTTATGGAGTGAAGAATGCAGGTAAGTAAATGTTGGTATGTTAATGGTACATGGGAAAAACACCCACGCCCTCAGTCCATGGAAAAATTGTCTTCCACGAAACCGGTGCCTGTTGCCAAAAAAGTTGGGAACCTCTGCATATACCATTATATAATACAAATAGCATATGGTTAAGCTTCAATTATGTAAGATGTGTTCTTTGTTTTATTCAGTGGCATAGTGTTTTCAGAAGTGTTACATAGAAATAGAATGAAACATAAATGAACAATATGCCTTGGCAGTAAAATTAGAAAATGCAGGATCTGCTTTCTTGTACTCTCTTCATTTGTAATACTGGGTAAGGCCTTCCTATATCTGTATACTGTATACTGAACGTTAACCATATGTATCTGAATAAGACCATTATCGCAACACTGAGAACTTGCCACATATTGAGAACGGTTCTTATAGTTCTGTAGCAAATGCTTCTACTAAATATATTTGAGTAGCAGATCAAACTCTCTGAGAAGGGGATAAAATGTTTAGAATGTGTTTAGTCTGATTGCGATTATATGTTTAGGAATGTAATTAAATATCTAGAGATTATTTTGCTTCAGTCTTTTATATGACGCAATGAGAGTTGCCTCAGGATAACATTCTTATTGTTGAATGTGATGCTTAAATTCTGCTTGCAAGCCATGTTCATGCAGGTACCTAGATTGGGGTGGCCTTATTTTTTGTTAGGTCTAAAAATCCGAAAGAAAGTTCCTGCACAGCAATCTGTTCTGCATGCGCTTTAGTTTTACAGCAACAATAAATTATACTCAAATCAATTATGCTAAATTTTGTTGGGAAAATAAAATGCTGGTTCTTTTTTTAAATAAAATGTTTGTGTTACAGAAACCTATTTTCAACAAGCACTTTCAAAACTTGAAAGCTGTGACCTGTTCCCAGAAGATGACAGGTGAAGATTGTATCTTTTATCTGATATTAGAGAGCTTTGTAAGAAAATCCATGCATCTTATGATATAATACTGCTTTTCGTATTTAATAGAATTCTAATAGCAGATTTTTTTTCATTAACAGAAGCATTGTTTTGATGCTTTTGACAGTTCTTGAGTTGATAGTATAACCAGTGAAACTTAAATTGATGACATAATTGAAAACTACTTAGGAAGCCAGTTTATGGGGCTTTCCAAAGCTGCAGACTTCTCTTTTCTTTGGCAGTCTTTGTTATATAATGTCTCTTCCTTCTCTCTGAATTAAGTGACATGAAACTGTAATTTTAAAAGTAGCAAATTTTTGCCTATCATCTTTATCTGTTGTGCAAGATGAACAAAAATCTAAAATGAAATAAAATGGATCTTGTGATTGCACATCTTTTGCAGCTCAAACAAAGTGTCCTATGTCTCTTTTCCATTTTCTTTTTTGCTGTAGTTTAACTGAAAAGTAGCTTTGGAAACTGTGCTTACAAATGAGAAACTGTCAGGAATGATGTTGATTGGGGAGCTCTGCCTCCTGCTTAAAAACCCATTTCAAATCCAATAGACTTAACCTGCAGCAATAGGTTGATTTTTAGAGCGTATCCCTTTGTCTCCTTCCTCATCTTCAGGGCATCTGAATATGAACACTGATGGTAATATTTTCAGTGGATTATATTTAATATCACTCTTCTGTTTGTAAAGACACATTTATTGTATAATGCTTAATAGATGTGTTCTTATCCTTCTGCAGCTCATCCTGTAAAAAATGTATTGTGGTTGGCAATGGAGGAATTCTTCGAAACAAAAACCTGGGTCAAAAAATTGATTCTTACGATGTGATAATTAGGTAAACTTTCTGTTGTGAAACCAAGTATTTTGTCATTAGCTTTCTTATGGGTATCATCATCATCCTGATGATTATGGGTATAGATTCCTATAATTATGAGGAAAAGAGGCAGAAAATGGCATACTGATATATAGCATAAGACAATGCATACAGATGGACCCCAGTTAACACCTACTCAGTTTTGAGACTATTTGAAATATATTCTAACAGTGAAAAGGTAACTTTATGATCTGTTTTCGCATTTACAATTGTTGCACTGTTTTCACAGTCAGGTGATCACAATTTTCACACTTCATAGCTGACTTCCAACAAGCAAAGTCAATGGAGAAGCCAAGAATAAAATTGCAAGTAGCAGTTATGAGGTGTCTTATTTAATGACTGGGTGATTTGATTAACAATTACAGTGGAAGTGAGGTTCCAAGCCCATTGCAGACATATGATGTCTCATTTAATTACCGATGGGTAATTAGCAGTGGGGTTACTGTCCCAGTTGTAGTCATTAAGCAAGTATAGGAGACTCTAGGCTAAATCTTTTGGGAGTCGCTTTGCTCTCACAAGAGATCTAAGTCCAGTCCCCACAAATTCCATTGACTCTTATCTAGCATGAAGTTTGCCTTGACCATTAGTAAAATAGATTCTTGTGTAAGTAGCATGATATAAATTCATAGTACTTTTGAACTCTATCCCAGCTTCTGACAATAAGAACTACCTGTAATGGCATACTGTAATAAATTCATAGATAAATTTAAAAACTAATACTTTATTATACAAAATAGAATATCACCTTTTAAATGTAATCCATTTATGTTTGATGATATCCTAGGTTGCTCCTTCCTGCCCCACTTTTTTGTTTTATTTTTATTTTATTTTATTTTTTAAAAAGCTACAAGCAAAGTACAGAGCTATGTTAGTCTATAGCAGGGGTAGGCACCCTTGGCTCTTTTATGACTCGTGGACTTCAACTCCCAGAATTCCTGAGCCAGCATGGGAGTTGAAGTCCATGAGTCATAAAAGAGCCAAGGTTGCCTACCCTTGGTCTATAGCAAAATAGTAAACATGGAGCCTGGCTGTACCTTCAAAATTAACCAGGTTTAATAGGGATAAGTTTTCATGAGAGCTGTTGCCTTAAAGGTATAATCAGATTCATATGTTTGGTTATAATGCATAACTTAATTGAAAAATACACTAGGGAAAAATATCATTTTAAGGGGTAGGTAAAGCAAAAGACATACTAAAAAGTTTATGTAGGAGAAATAACTCTAAGATTGTATATTTAATACTTTCCATAATATTTTAGGATGAAATTATGAGAAAGTACAGCTGATTCAGATAAGCTAAAGAAATAGGAAACCACAGGAAATGTAACTACTGCATGTTGCCATATTCCTGTATCATAGTTGAAGGGGAACTTTTCCATGTTTTTATTGCTTACAGAATAGCTTACATGCTTCTGAAAAACTTCTGCAGAAGAACTTCATTTATATGCTGACTCTTTGAAAGCAAATAGAAACTAAATTCAAAGACGAGTGTCTTGCCAGATTTTGCATCATACACATCCTTCAGTAGTTTCATGCAATGTTTTGTTCTCCAGCATGATTAAGAAGAATCCACCAATGGGTTGTCTTAGTCCTCCTGCCCAATCAGACCAAGTTGTCAAGTTGTCACGCCTCCTCATTATCTGGGGACCTCCCAGTTTTCTTCTTGGTCTTCTCCCTTTACAGACGTGATTTCTTGACTCTCTCTACGTTGGAGCAGATCTGATAGAAAATTTACTCATTGGTGGATTCTTTAAAAGAGTTTAGCAGCTTGAGAGTTTTGTTTTCCCCTCTGTAAGGATTTGCTGCATTCCCCTCCTCAGGATTAGGTTAAAACTTTCTAAGGAAAGGGGGGGGGGGTGTTTCACTTCCCCAGATTCAGTATCCTGCTGAATCAGCAAACAAACCTCGCTCTACACAGTGGGGGGGGGGTTTAACCTATACGCATTTCAAAGGTGTTAAAAAAAGATCTCAGTTTCACCTGCGCGGTTCCTTTCCTTGCCGCTTTCATTTTCGCAGCCTCGTGGCTTCTCCCTAGCCGGGCTCAGCTAGGGACTCTTAGCAGAAGCCATTTGAATTTCAAAAGGCCTAATCTCACTTCTAAACACTTTATTACGGCTGCAGCAAGGGAAAGCCCAACGGTGGCCTTACAATCACCTAAAGCCACTGCGGAAGCATTAGGAGCCTCGTGGGGCAGCAGTAAAGCTTTTTGCACCTAACGACTGTTAGGCACAAACCCCTGCTTCACGCACTGGGCCAAAGCAGATTCCAATTAGCCTTGTTTGTGGCAGTCACTGGCCCCTTGCACTGCAGCATTAATCCCTCACCCCCCCTTCTTTACCCCCCTCCCTCCTGTTATTCCCTCCAAGGGAACGTTCACAGAGCCCGCCATTTGGAGGCTCAATCCCCCTGGCAGTCGCCATTTTGAATAAAAAAATAAAAATAAAAAATAAAATAAATAAATAAAAAATAAATAAATCTAAATTGAATGCAATAACGGGAGTGAACTACAAATGTTAATTGTATTAAACTAGATTGATTAACAAAATTGCTGGCTCCTTCATCTGAGTCTCAGTTTCAGCCATCTCCTGATCCATGCACCTGTGAGCAAGAGTGTGGTACCAACAGCAGCTCTGGTTCTTCAGCCTGGTCGCCATATTGCCTGTCTGCCCTTCTGCATCTGGTGGCTGTTCCACCATCCTGACCATTGCCACTACTGTGGGACACGTGTGATTCTTCTCCACCCAATCCACGTAGATCAGTCCCCCGTGGGGGCCTCTGACGTCCCTTGCAGAACGAATTGGACCAAAGGCAACTTTGGGTTGATTTCGATGGAAATGGCAGACCCTTCTGAGCCACGTTCCTTGGACATGGACGTCATTCCCGCCTCAACTGAGCCGACACCCGAGCCTCCATCAGGTAAGGCGAGATCCAAGTCTAAGCACGGCAGGAAAGCTGGCACGGCGAGCGACAAACTGGCTGAACGTACCCACAGAGCTCTGGAGAAGCAATTCTCCCGGGCCCAACGCTTGTCTGCTGAAGGAGGTCTCACATTGCCAACCTCCGTACCACCGGACAGGGGAGAGCCTCAACCATCCACATCCAGAGTATGGTCGCCGGAGACGGGGTATCAATAGGTCCCAACTCGGACTCTTGGTCAGGTAGGCCCACCCGTGTTTGGGGAGAACTTTGCCTTGCCAGGTTCATCTGCAGCATCCACTGCTGCCAGCACACCACCTGCTGCGGGGTTAAGGCTTCCGCTAGAGCAGTCCGTCTCCGACCAGCTCCAAATGTGAATATCACAGGCAGTGTGCCAAGCCATGGCATCAGCGAGTCATCAACAAGCCCCCTCCGTTCCAGGACCATCCTCTTCTTTGGCACCAACAACTGCCGTGAGGCCTCCACTGGATCAGTCAGGTATGGTCTCTCCCTCCCAATCCCCTGATTCGGACCCGGATGTTTCAGATTACGGGGGAGGCAAGGATGGTTGGTCGGATTGCAAGGAACCATCTTACGAATCCCAACCCATGGCGGAGCTTTTTAATGCTTCGCTATTTCCGGCTTTGTTATGCAGAGCATGCGAGGCAAGTAAGCTTTCCCCTCAGTCGGTATCAACCCCTCAGCCTTCCTCCGATCAGGAAACCAATCCTTTGTTTGCTGTTCCTATAGACACGCACCTCCATATCCCTTGTCCACAGTTGTTCTTCCAAAATGTGCAGGATCAGCGGGAATCACCAGCAGCCCAGCCGTCACAAAGCGCATCTGAGCGCAAAATGGTAGACATGCCTAAGGCATTCGGAGACCTACTAGAGGTCGCAAAAGTGGATGAATCGCTGGCACCGCTTTTCTCCACTGCCAGCCTTCCAGCTGATGTATCCGACGCCCTTAAGGCAGAGGATAAAAAATCTGAAATGGCCTTACGCAAAGCGCACTTGGCATCTGCCTGGTCTGTGAAGGCAGCGACGGCCACTTCCTTCTTTGCAAGAATCTCTATCACCTGGCTGCGTCAGCTGCAGGATAGAATCCCACTTGAGGAAACTAGAATGCATCAGGATCTAACAAAAATACTTGCCACATCCGAATACATGGCCGATGCCTCTCTGTATTCAGCCAAACATTCAGCCCGGGCTATGGCTTCCAATGTGGTGGCTAGGAGACTCCTGTGGCTAAAAAATTGGAGAGCCGAAAGTAAGCATAAGTGGCGCGTGGCCACAGCCCCTTTCAAAGGTGGCAAATTATTTGGGGATGCACTAACGCCATACTTAGTTGAAAATAAACAGAAGCAAAAGGTGATCTCCCACATGGCAAAGAGGTCCACAAGACGGTTCACCCCTTACAGTCGCCGGCAGCCTTTCGGGCAGGGACAGCAACAGAGTCGGCACAACCGTACCGACCGGTCGCTCCCAAACAGGAGCGTTCACTGGACAGGACAGGTTATAGAGACAGGTCCATGTACTAGCCACAACCCAAAAATTCCTTTCGTGGCCGAGGGGATCGGTCTTTCCGCCGAGGCAAATGACTCGGAGGGAAATCCCCCCATTGGCAGCAGGCTCACTCACTTTACTCGCCAGTGGGAAAACACGACCACAGACTCCTGGGTGTTGCGTACCATAAGGGAAGGCCTGTCCCTGGAGTTCAAATCCGTTCCATTCAATCACTTTGTGTCTTGCCCAGCCATGAGAAACCCAGTAAAGAGGGGACTCATGGAGGACGCTATACAGCATCTACTAGCCATCAAAGCGATAGAGGAGGTTCCCCCAAGCCAGGCAGGGCAGGGATATTACTCAATCCTGTTTGTAGTTCCAAAGTCTTCGGGGGGATGGAGGGCAATTCTCGATCTCAAGGGATTGAATCTTCCCCTACATTACAAATGGTTCAAAATGCAAACATTGCACTCCATCCTAACCAGTATCAGGCGGGGAGATTTATTAACATCCATAGATCTGAAGGAGGCATACCTCCACATCCCTATTCTCCCAGCTCATCGCAGGTACTTAAGATTCTGCTATCTCAACCGCCATTTTCAGTACAGAGCCCTTCCTTTCGGCCTCTCTTCAGCCCCCAGGGTCTTCACCAAAATCCTGGCAGTGTTGGCGGCTCACTTGCGGCTGGTCCCAGTCAGGGTCCAGTGCTACCTGGACGATATCCTGATCCAGTCCCCGTCAGTCTCAGCCGCCCATTCGGATTTGACCCTCACTATACAGACTCTTCAGGCCCATGGCTTCCTGATCAACTTCAAAAAGAGCCAGATGAATCCATCTACCCGTCTGCTTCACCTGGGAGCAGTAATAGACACGGAATCATGTCACATGTACCTGTCAGAGGAGAGACGCAGGAGCATCAGGGACTTGGCTCGCAAGGTACGCAGGGACAGAACCATGGCATTAGCCACGCTTTCTCAGCTCCTGGGCAAACAGATCTCATGTATAGCAATCGTGCCATGGGCTCGGCTACATACCCAGGAGCTTCAGTGGTTTCTTCTCCCATACCAAAGACAGCATACCAGTACGTCCAACAGACGGGTTCGGGTTCCCCGTCAAGTATGGTTTTCCCTTGGCTGGTGGACTTCATCGGCCGTCAGCAAAGGGATCCTGTTCAAAGAACCCAACCGCCTTCAGGTGACCATGGACGCCAGTCTCTTCGGCTGGGGGGCTCACCTCCAATCCCGGATAACTCAGGGTCGGTGGTCGCAAGCACATCTCAAACACAATATAAATTGGTTGGAGCTCAGAGCGATTTATCTAGCTCTTCAAAAATTCCACATAGAAGTCAGGGGGCAGCATGTACTGATTCAAACAGACAACGTGGCTGCAAAGGCCCATGTGAACTGGCAGGGGGGCACACGGTCGAAATCCCTCATGACAGAAGCCTGAGCATTGGGCACCTGGGCAGAGAAACACCTGCTCTCCATCAGAGCCGAACACATTTCGGGAGAGGCAAATCGACAGGCAGATTTCCTCAGCAGGTCGACAATAGATCATTCGGAGTGGATGCTTCATCCAGATATCTTCAGGAGATATCAGCCAAATTCGGCAGTCCGATCATGGACCTGTTTGCCACCCCGGAGAACGCTCAGCTTCCCAGATTCCTCTCCCGGTTCCCTTCTCGGGGAGCAGAGGGAACGGATGCGCTTCGCAGCAGGTGGCCACAAGGCCTATTGTATGCCTTCCCCCCATTGCCTCTACTTCCTGCAGCAATCAGGAAGCTCCTGGAGGAACAAGCGGAAGTGATCTTCATCGCCCCTTACTGGCCCAGGAGACGATGGTTCGCGGATCTGGTGAGTCTTTCATTTTCAGCTCCATGGAGGATTCCCGACAGCCAAATAAGGCTGATACAGGGAGATCTATAACATCCAGATCCACAATGGCTTCAACTGACCGCCTGGCACTTGAACGCCGCGCTCTAACCAGGGAATCTTACTCAGCGGAGGTGATTGCTATGATACAGGCGGCCAGGAGACCGGCAACGAACCGGCTTTATGACCATACGTGGAAGCATTTCTGTCAATGGTGTGATAAGAAACACGTAAGTCTATCACAGGTGACGATTTCCAGGGTTCTGGAATATTTAATGGAGGGCGTCAACAAGGGGTTGGCACCCAACACTTTGCGCAGACAGTTAGCAGCCCTGTCCTCAATTTTGTCATGGGACTCCTCGAGCTCTTTATCAAGACATCCAGCCATTCAGGCTTTTCTTAAAGGGGTCTCGAGTACCAGACCGCCTGTTATTCACAGGTATCCCTCCTGGGACCTACCCCGAGTGCTTTAAATTCTAACATCTTCTCCTTTTGAACCACTCAAAATGTGCTCATTACGACATTTGTCATTCAAGGTCTCATTTCTCATTGCCATTACCTCGGCCAGGCGCATTTCAGAGTTAGCGGCCTTGTCGGTTAGAAAAGACCTATGCACATTCCACGAGGATAGGGTAGTTCTCAGGCTTGACCCTTCATTTATTCCAAAGGTTAACACGGTTTTCCATAGGGCACAGGCGGTTATCCTCCCAAATTTTTGCCCTCACCCATCACATGAATTGGAACAACACTGGCACACTTTGGACGTAAGGAGGGCCTTGCGATGTTATATCAAGCGCACTAAGCCCTTCCGTAAGTCAGAAACCCTATTTGTGTCCTTTCAGCCTTCGTCTATGGGGCAAAAGGTTTCAGCTTCCACCATAGGGAGGTGGATAAGGGCCTGTATTTCAAGCGCTTATGTTTCTCTGGCTTTACCAGTTCCTCCTCATGTGACGACTCACTCTACCCGCAGTGCTGCTACAACTGCGGCGTGGGCAACACAGGCGTCTATTGAGGACATATGCAGGGCGGTGACATGGTCGTCGCCATCTCCATTCATTAGACATTACCGTTTAGACAAGTTTGCTTCGGCTGAGGCCGCCTTTGGTAGATGTATCCTACAACAAGTAGTCACACCATCTGGGGGCCCGGCCCCTACTGTCTCTCACCCTTAGGGACTCGAGAAGCTTTGGTACGTCCCATTGGTGGATTATTCTTAATCATGCTGGAGAAGGAGCGTTGGCTTACCTGAACGCTTTTTCTCAGCATGATGAAGAAGAATCCACGCCCTCCCTAAGTAGAAGTCAGTCAGGTCCGGGTGAGATGGTTGTTCTGTTAGTTGTCGTTACTACCTGCTTGAGAGTCATCACGTCGTACTGTTGTCAATGACTTCGCCCGTCGATGAAAACTGGGAGGTCCCCAGATAATGAGGAGGCGTGACAACTTGACAACTTGGTCTGATTGGGCAGGAGGACTAAGACAACCCAACGCTCCCTTCATTTCAAACACCTTTTGCGTGGTATCAATTTTGACTTATGACAAAGATAGACTGTTCTTCTAGTAATCTGGTTAGAGGAAGACAAAAAGAGGAAGAACAGGAAATGTTGAAAAAAGAGGGGGATTTTGGTTCTTCTATGTCTCTTGACAGATTTCTCTCACAGGAAGTGCTCCTGAAAATAACAGGAAAAGGTTCCAACAGTTGAGTTAAAGCATGTAACCTAATATTATTTCAATCAAACCTTCCTGTTGTCATATTGCATCTATTATGTATTTAGAGGTGAAATCTGCGTATATGCAGCCTTAACCAATATTAGAACAAATTCTGCTTTTGAATGCACTGTCTTGAAGTTGTACTTCAGAAATAAAAATGGGATTTTTCATAACTATTAATATTTTTCTTCAATAGAATGAATAATGGACCTGTTATAGGCTATGAAGATGATGTTGGAAGGAGAACGACATTCCGACTTTTCTATCCAGAGTCAATTTTTTCAGATCCACTTCACTACGATCCTGAAACTATTGCAGTTTTTATTGTCTTCAAGCACCATGACTTAAAATGGCTTTCAAATCTATTAAGTGGCCACAATATAATGGTAAGTTGTGTGTGGTAACAATGTGTCTAATTTTTCTCATGTTTTTCCTTACCAGAAAGGTTGTGAATATACTGCTGTGTACAATCATGGGGAATTGTCCTAAGTAAGAATGATCTCTTTTAGGTTGGTATTTTTGGAATATATTTTTGACCTTCCCTTCAAATTTATATCTAAAAATTGGCCATCAAGTTCAGGATTTTTTTATTTCAATTATTTTTTTTGTCTGCTTCCTACATTAATTAAACACACTCTTTGTAACACATAGATAAAATTACTGAGTTAAACAAAAACATAGTGTATAATATTGATAATATATCCTTGAGTTTACCAAATATATTTCAAAAAACTCAGGCTAAAAAATCTCATAATAATAATGATGTTACCCTTTCCCCAAATAAAATAATAATAGCTCTTATAGATTTATAATTATATTATATTATATTATAAAAATCCACTTACACTGTAAGAATATTTTTTTAAAAGGTGGGGAGAGGGAGAAAAAATGACTGGATTGTTCATAAACAAGATAACTTTGAACAAATCAATTTGATGTAATGGTTAAGGTGTTGGATTAGAAACTGGGAGAGCAAGAGTTCAAGTTCTCTGCTAGTCAACAAAGCTGGTTGGATGGACTTTCAACCCATCTTGCAGAGTTGTTGTCAGGGAAAAAATAAGTGGGAATATTATGTATGCCACTTTGAGTTGAATAAAATAGAGATGGGGTGTAAATCTAATAATAAACTGTAGAACATTTGAGCAGATTCCTTAAAAATCCCCTTTCTTGCCTCTGTTGAAAGCAGGATGCTTCAGATATTAATAAACTGCTTTTGTGCTAGATTGTGAGTTATATCAGAATTAATGTTACTAGAAATAATTTTTTGGAAATCCAAAGATTTATACTGTGGATAATTTTTATACTAGAAGGGAGTTAGCTGGAACTGGCAGAATGGTGTTATGTGTCTTTGAAGGAGTAGCTTCAGAGCTAAGATGGAAATTTAGAGTGTAAACAAGAAGTAGGAAGGAGGTTGGTGATTCATCCAGCTTGAGTTTGAGTAGGCCAATCCTGAGGCTAAGTCTCATTTTAATGACTTTACCCAACCAGGATAAGGGGGTGAATCTGACAAATCAGAATGGAATAGTGACCTTGAAGGATTTGTTCTTTTGATGAGGTTCTCTGAATTCCTGGTATTTGAGGTACTTTTGATGTTTCTGGTGTTGGAAGGTAGACCCAACAAGAAAGGTCTGCTCTTAGTGTCAAGTTAGTTTTTTTCATTGAGACCAAATGGACAGACTACTCACATAAATAACTGAAAAGCTGTGTTCAGATATCAAGTTGGTAATACCCTCTCCCTTCCTGGATCCTCAAAGGAGATCACAGTGTTGAGCTGAGGTATCCTGGCTGATAATAGAGAAGAATTACAGGTGGCTTTTTTAAAAGGCAACTGGCCTTTTTTTTCCCTTGAAGACATTTCACTTCTCATCCAAGAAGCTTCTTCAGTCAGTTTCTTTGGGACAATCATGACATAGGTGACTGAGAATCATCATAGACATAGAAAAGACCTAGATGGCCTAGCTGCTGAAGGACTGGAGTCACTTGGTTGGTTTTGAAGTGATGGGCACCAGCAATGTTCTGTGCGAGACAAAATTGCCTGAATTGAGCCACCGCTTGTAGTGAGAGGACAAAGTGCAGGGCCATCAGTGGCAGAATACTTTAATGGGATAGTGAGTCCTTCCAGTGAACACTCCAAGATTGATTTCTATATGGGTTATAGTGAGTTGTTGAAGAGTGTTTGGAAGAAGTTGATTGATGGGATGTATGGAGTCCCATTTAATTTGTTGTATAAATGCTGTGTAGAAGCACCATTATGAGTTTAATTTGTATTTGTATTTAATTTTATTTATATGCCGCCCAATCCCAAAGGACTCAGGGCGGTGTACAGAGTTAAAACAATCATAAAACAATAAAATAATACAGTCATACCGCGAGTCCGATCATATCCCGCCCCCCCCGGGGACATCAGCCCCAGGCCTGCCGGAACAGGAGAGTTTTAACGGCTTTCTTAAAGGCCGGCAGGGTGGGAGTAGTTCAAACCTCGGGGGGAAGTTGATTCCACCAGGTCGGAGCCACCACAGAAAAGGCCCTTCCCCAAGGGCCCGCCAGCCAACATTGTCTGGCCGACGGGACCTGAAGGAGGCCCAATCTATGGGACCTCACCGGTCTCTGGGAACTGTGCGGCAGAATGCGGTCCTGTAAGTAACCTGGCCCTATGCCATGAAGGGCTTTAAAGGTGATAACCAACACCTTGAATTGCATCCGGAGACCCACAGGAAGCCAGTGCAGCTCGCAGAGGATAGGTGACACGTGGTGTCACCTAATGATGAGATTTAGAGATATAAATTTCCCAATTGTGGTGGGCTGTAAGAGATACTGGGCATATTCTACATTTAGGGGAAAACTGCCAATTCGGAGGATTTTTTTAATTGATACTTGATTATACTTCTTAGGGAAGTTTCCCAGCTTTTCTGAAAAATCTGAAGATTTTTTCTCAATTTTGTAGAATTCCAGGATTAGAAATGTTAATGAAAAATCATATTGCTAACTTGTTTTCCCATTTAAAAAGTTCATTATCATCCATTTCCTTAATGTAATCAGGTTATGTTTTCAAACATAAAGAGATGCAGAAAACAAATAAATTTTATGACTACTGCATCTTTTTTCAGAACTAGTTTGTATATCTCCTTCCTTTACAATGGCACGTTTTCTTATGTTATGGAAGTATGCAGTGGTGGGATTCAAATAATTTAACAATCTGCCCTAATGACTGTTTTAAGTATAAAACCGATATACTGAGAGGTAGATTATTACTTCATGTATTTAATACTTAAATAAGAACAATAAAAGAGGTACACAAAACTAGATTATGTTACTTGTTTCCCCGAAAATAAGACTGGGCCTTATATATTTTTTTTAACCAAAAGACCCATTAGATCTTATTTTGTGAGATGTCTTACATTACAGCAAGTGGCAAGCGTGTGGGGGCAGGGCATGGCCTGTGCATGTTGCGGTAGCCCAAGGCCAAAGCGCAGGCAGAGCGCCGGATATCGGGGAGGGTACTGAAGCAAGCCGGTTTCCTGTCTGCAGCACCCATGACGGTTGCCCCTTCCCTTCCTTGCCAGAGCCGGAATACCACCATGTTTACCATAAGTGCTGGTACTGGTAGATATCTGGTGGGCCTGGGCAGCTACTAGAGAGCGACGGGCCTGTTTCACGCCTGGTGCCCTTAGGGGGCTTGTCCTTTCACTTCCCTTCTGAGCCAGACTGCTGGCGCTTTCGGCCACCTGGCCCTCTTCGCAGCTCTGCCCACACAGCCACCGAAGCGTCAGGTGGAGTGCCGGAGCTGGAAAGCATCGCATTTCTCTGCTACCGCAGAGCTGGAGAGCTTTCCTCACCCACCACCACCCAGATGCCCTCCCTTCCCAAAGCATTTCTTTGCTGACCTTCTTTCCAGCTCTCACGCGCACCTCTGCTTCTGTGGGCAATCGTACAAACAAAAGAAGTTTGTAGGATTAAAAAAAAAAAGTTCAATCAATCAATTCCAACTTTGCAAGTTCTTTTTTTTTTTTTTTGCAAGAAGTTGGAATTGATTGATTGAACTTTTTTTTTTTGTCCCAGAAACTTCTGTTGTTTGTGGGACTGCCCACTGTGGCAGAGAAGCGTGCCAGAGCTGGAAAGCTTACCCCACTGACCACTGACCAGATGCCCTCCCTTCCCAAAGCATTTTTATGCTAACCTTGTGCCACAAGCAAAAGAAGTTTGCCAAAATGGATCTCAGGCTGCAATGTGTGCTTCAATGGAGAGACGGAAAGTGGAGCAGGCAGTGCAAGGGAAGGAGGAGCAGGGAAAAGAAAGAGGAAAAGTGGCTGAGTGAGAAGCGCCGACAAAAACAGCGGAGTCCATGTGCCTGCCTGCCACATGCTCACCCCATGTTAGCCATGCTCTCCACGGTGCGCTTCAGCTGATCTGAGGTGTAGAGAGCATGGCTGACACAGGGTGAACGTGTAGCAGGTGCACACTCAGACTCCGCTGTTTTCAGCAGTGATTCGATGCCAGGATGGCCCTGCTTCTCACTTGGCCGCTTTTCCTCTTTCTTCTCCCCACTCCACCTTCCCTCATGCCTGCTGCTCCACTTCCCATCTCTCCATTGCAGCACACATGCAGCCCAGGTTCCACTTTGGCAATGACAGGATTTGAGGGATGGTAAATCCCCATTCATGGCGTGCCTGCTGACCAATCGCCATGCCACCTCTTGGAAGTGCATCAAAAAAACCCTCATGCTCGCCCCATGTCTGCCATGCTCTCCACAACACGCTGCAGCTGACCCGAGGTGTCTGGCCAGGTACTAAAGCACTGCCGAAAACAGCAGAGTCTGCGCATCTGCTGCATGCTCACCTGTCAGCTGTGCTCTCCACACCTCGGATCAGCTTCAGCACACTGTGGAGAGCATGACTGATGCAGGCAAGGCAGGTGTGCACACAGACTCCACTGTTTCCTATGCCTGGCCAGCTGCCTCAGGTCAGCTGCTGCGCGCCGTGGAGAGCATGGCGGACACGGGGTGAGTATGAGGCAGGTGTGCATACAAACTCTGCTTTTTTCAAGTGCCATTTTAACAACCGGTTCCCCGAACTCAAGAGGAAGTAGGTAAAGGTTCTGCCAAACCGGTGCAAACCGGCTGAATCCCACCACTGGAAGTATGGCTTTAACCTATTAAAGGCATCCTTTTTGTTCCATAGGCAACTGATGTCTTCTGGAAGAAACCAGCAATGAAGATGATTTATAAGCCTAACCAAATCAGAATCCTTGATCCATTTATTATTAAAGAAACAGCATATGAATTGCTTCATTTCCCCAGAAAATTTCCTAGACGAGGAGTAAGTATTTTACTGTGACAATTTCAATAATACTGGCTAAGAAATTGTAGTCGGCAATACTGAATCACAAAGCTGCCTGCAGCTTACCTATTATAACAAAAGCAATATTTCCATATTGCTTTTTGCTCCCAAAAGTTGAGAATGGTGAATATTGTCTTATTTTTACCCTATCCTCTTAACCTTGGGAAATTGGGTAGGCTGAAAGAAAGTGTGGGATATGGGCTAAGGATATTTTAACTTGATATTTCTTGTTGATATCCAAACTTCTACATCTCATTGATTTTTCATTAGAACTTTGATGTATAATTTCAATGTAATATATAATTATATATGTAATATAATATAAATATATAATTATAATTTAATAGAGCTTTTAATTGTTATATAAAGTAGAAGCTTTCAAGCACTTTCAGGTTTCAAAACCTTTTAGTTTAAAAAAATGCAGGAATCCCTGAAAAGTATATATTTGTATTTTTAAATGTAGGCTTGGTTTATGAATTTTACTTAATTGTTTTCATTTTAAATGAGATGCTTGTAGAATAAAAAAAAATGAACTGAACTTTAATGGGATCAATTCATTTGATACTAACATATTAAATCAAATTATAAATGATGAAATCATGATCCATATTAAATAATAGTTGGCTACTTTAAAAGTGGAATCAAGGAATGTAATCAATTCTGTTTTTTTTTTTCCTTTATATGAACGCAGTGTTAAAATAAATTCAGTGCTGCTATTCTGCTAGATGGAAAAACTATAATTGGTGGTCATGGTAATTTAGCCCAGGCAGATAATCTTAATGCTTTTCCACTGTCTTTAGTTAGCTTGTGAACATTAGTAAACAGGTTACCTAGTCCAAAATCCTGCTTAGTGCAGAATCCACTAGAATATTCCTGACAGACAACTATCTGACTTCTGTAGGAAGACATCCAAACAAAGTAGGATTCATCACTCCATGTGGCAAACTATTCTACTAGTTGGTAGTTTATGTCAGAAAGTTCTTTCTGAAGTCTAGCTTGAATCTGGGTCCTAATAGTTTAACCTATTGGTTCTGAAACAATAGAGAACGCCTGTTACCATTATTGTGCCACAACCTTAAAATATCTAAAGATGGCTATATTAATTGTCTCTTCTTCAGGCTAAATTTACCCAAGCCCTCTAGCCTGTCCTCATAAGGTTCTGTTTCCAGAGCCCTCACCATCTTTGATAGCCCTCTTCTAAAATTGTTCCAATATATCACTATCCCAAAATTGAACATAAGATTGAGACTACTGGTGTAATAAATAATGCATTTTCCACATTTTTTAAAATTCTGCAAAGTAATCTAGACGATGTAGATTCTTCAACCAAATTTTCTGCTATTATTTAGTAGTCATCCAGATTTTTGCAGCCTAGGTGAGTTAGCTTTAGTTTAGAGCAGGGGTATTCAACCTTGGCTCTTTTATGACTCGTGGACTTCAACTCCCAGAATTCCTGAGCCAGCTATGCTGGCTCAGGAATTCTGGGAGTTGAAGTCCACGAGTCATAAAAGAGCCAAGGTTGACCACCTCTGGTTTAGAGAGCTGATATGATTCTTCCCTGGAAAAGACCAGAGGGGAAAAAAACTGAGTATGGCTTCATAATCATCTGATTCAAGGTTAGGATATCATTTTTTCTATGTTAAAATATGCTTCTTTTTCCATTTTTCTTCAACCCATTTTTTCTTTACTATCATATCTCATTAGATTAGGCTGAGAAAGCTGGCTGAATGAGGCCCACAGCCAATAGAGGGGATGGGGAAACATAAGGGAAAGAATATCCATGTTGCTGCAGTTATAGCAATGCCTGAGCACCTAGCAAAGGTTGTTACCCATAGTTAGGAACTGGAAAAGCAGCAGTGCTCCGCAGATCAGCAAGCCAAGCCCCTTCACAGTGTGCAAAAGTATTGAAAGCTGCAGCAACAATAACCAGGTAAACTGGTGTGCAGTGATTGAATTCAGCCAGTTCGCACTTTGGCAGAACCAGTAGCTAATTTTTTGTTACCCAGGCCCAGAATGTACTCCCAGAAGCGGCATCAACACAGAGAACCGTTTGTTCAGATATTTGAATCCCACCACTGCTGGTGTGCATAAAAGGCCAGGTAGCACTGATATCAACAAGGCAAGCAGGAAAACCGTTGAAGGCACTTGAAAGAGACAGTAGGCTGGGAAAGGTCTCAGCACCAGAAAGCTTCTTCCAGAGGCATCTCAGCTATGCTGTCTAACAGTTAAACTGTAAACAAAATGGGAAATACCCAATAATTGCACCATTGAGACTTCCACACAAGCAGCTGTTTCAGGCACAATTCTGATACCTATACAACACTTTTTACTTCTGTGTACTACAGGGGAGCAAATTCTGCAGCATTTCATTCCTTCTCATTTGTGGCTTTCAAAGACCTCTCAGTTACCAAATTGAAGTCTTTTACCATTTTGAAATAACAACCATATAAAAAGTGTTGTGTAGGTATCAAGGACTGAAGTGTATTAAAAACAAACACCTACTCTTCCCTCCAATACTTGCTTCCTAAATAGGCTATCAGTCAATCCACTACATAATGAGCTTTCATCCTTTTAGTATTGTGTCCTTCCCTATTTTGCCCTCAGCCTCCAAAATTAAAAAAATACAGTATCTATCCATCAGAGGGGTGGCCTATGCCTGGTTTACTAAAATAAACACTAGATAGATAAGCAGACAGACATTGGTATAGAATTTGCCATATTTTTTCCAAATGCAAATTTGGCTTGGCATATATGAATCTGTTTAAAAATCAAATATATTTATAACTTGATTTTTTAGAGACCAAAACATCCCACCACAGGGTTAATTGCCATTGCCTTTGCCTTTAATATATGTACTGAAGTTCACGTGGCAGGCTTCAAGTACAACCTGAAGGATCACAGCAGTTCTTTGCACTATTATGGTAATGACACCATGTCTTTGATGATTAAGGTAATACCCTATTTTCTTTCTTTTATATGTATGTAATGTATTTCCTTTTCACTGGGTTGTATCAAATGTCAGCTTGTAGTAGCAGAAAGCATTTTCTGGGGATCTGATATTAGATATCCACCCCTTCTTTCATACAGTCCTCAAAGCTGTATCTCATATTACAGATCAGCTTTGGATGGGGGGAGGGGCAGCAGTACCTAAAGAAAGTTTAGGAGACAGAACCATTCTGAGCTATCATTGGTCATTACTCAGTGTGATGTTTATTGTTATGTCCATATTAGAGTTAGCATGCCAATAAACTGCTTTATTTAGAATCAACAAATCAAGCTCTGAAAACATAGTTTGAACATAATACAGGTAGTTCTTGACTTAACAACCAGTTGCTTAGTGACTGTTCAAAGTTATAATGGACCCCGAAAAAGCTAATGGTAACCTGGTTTTGAAGTTCTGTTGTCCCCCCACCCCATGGTCATGTAAATGTAATTTATAATGTTTTTTCTGGAAAACCGCATTTGTTTTCAGTATGTGGCAAAAGCTATCCCTTAGTGAGAATGGGTTCACTTAACGACTGCAGCATTCACTTAATGCTACAGATCCTGTCAGCCAAAGAACGTCAACTGACAGAGACTAGAAGGTGAGCTTTTTCTGCAGCAGCTCCTGCTCTGTGGAGATTAGAATAACCCCAACCCTCTTAGCCTTCCATAAAGTTTTAAAGGCCTGGTTGAACTCCCAAGCCAAGGGCGCTACATGTGCCAAGGGCTCTGCCTCCTTGTTAACAAGGCCTGATGTCTTGCTTTGTATGTATTCAAATATTTTCACATTTTTTAATGTTTTAATGTTTTTTATTGGGTTTTTTTTTTGTTTTAAAATGTTTTTAGGATTTTGATTGTCGTGTATATTTCTGACTTGTTAGCTGCCCAGAATCATTTGCTGAGATGGGTGCTATACAAATCAATCAATCAATCAATCAATCAATCAAATAAATAAATAAATAAATAAATAATGACTGTTGCAAAAAAAGTTGCAAAATTATATCCAGTCATGTGGTGACCTGCTTTATGACTATCATGATTTACGACTGAAATTGCAGTCATAAATCATGATTAAAACCCTGATTTAAAGTTTATCTTTTTCTGCTTTTAGTTCTGAGTTTTGTATTTTTCCTTTATTGTTCTTTGCAGAATGAATACCATGACATTGATGCAGAGCAGAGATTTTTGAATGAGCTTATAAAGCACCAAATTGTTATCAATCTCACAGAAGAACCAAATTAATGAACAATCACTATTTTTTGTAAAAGTGAATTATTTTTATTTGAATTATTTTTTTAATAAAGTATTTATAGAAATTTGCCATTTTTTTAAAAAAAAAATTATCTCACATATCTTCTAAGAATGTCTTTGCTATACTATTAGTGTTTTCCCAGAAAGTAACTATCATAGTCATTTACACAAACATGTTAATTTAATTTAGAAGTCAAGATAAAATGTTAAGGCAACAATATAAAATGTCCCTTCTGTTGAGTTTCAATCATGAATAAAAAAGTGAAGTGCTAAAAAATTTATACACTTGGTCTCCACAACAGAGTGCTGGAAATGCATATAGTTTTTAAATCTTGTTTAAAATGAGACTGCAAACTATGATGTTTTCAGCAAGGTGATGTGTGCATGGATTAAAGTGGCACAGTGATAACTACTGAACAATGCAAAAAATGGCTTATGAGTAAGGCAATTTTCACTTTCAATAATGGAACAGCAAAACTAAAGCAGTCACTCTGTTCTGAATTTCCTTGAGTTAATTAATATGTATTCAAGATGTTGCAATAGATGCTTAAATCAGAGGCATCTACAGGGAGATTAAAAAAAAATCATAATGGTGACCATGATTATATGATCAAAATTCCACGAGCCTTTTTTAAATATACAGTGCAATTCTGTGAATGCAAAATATTTTATCCCTCTTCCTGCTTTCTCCCAGTGGACATCCCTCCCTAAAATATGGCATACTATAGAAGGTTACTCTTGGATCTTGTTCAGAATGCTTTTAAAACTGTTTAACCCAAATGTTTCAGTTTTTTTTTACTTTTATTGTATTTTTTGCTCTCAATTTTTACCTGTAAGGTCAGCATTGCACTGTTGTCAAAGACACAGCAGAGAGTCAGTAAAAGTAGAATCCTTACAGCAGTCTAGACATTTTTTCAGAAACAGTCTTCATTTGAAAGAATAGCTTAGCTAAGGGATATCAAATTCTTATTTTACTTGTTCATCTTTAAGTGGCAAATATTATGCTTTCATAATATTTTCATCAAAACTATTTGACATTCTTTAGTTTACTAATTCAAATAGTCCAAAGTCCCTTTAAATAAAAGATGATAGTATTCTTCTAATAGAACAGTTTTCCTAAATCTTTGAGTTTATTTGGATTTTATTTTACCCTATTTTCTCTAAATTAATATTTAGCTCTTTAGAAAACATAATTTCTTAACTTGTTAATTTTGCTTAATGGATTGCTGCAGATGACTTGTGTTTTTGAAGCTTCTTGAGGTAGCTAGTGGGATATGTTCCAAAGATGTTGAGCTACAGTTCTTATAAATATCAAAGAGCAATTTCAGACATTATAGCCCTAAATATTGGAACACCACTTGGTTGACATATGCAACAATATGGTTTTATGTTTTACAAGTCAATTTCTTTACTTCTATTAAAAAATAAATAATTTATTATCATTAAATGATTTGAATATCTTTGGTCTTATGATATAGACACAGGTAAATTGAAGCCAATGTTAAAAAGGCTTTTGGCTGCAAAGTCCTTGATCCTCTCCAGCTATTTCCCTTTTTTGTCCCAATCAAAAGGAAAAATCTTATTTTTAAGCAGCACCAAATTGGAGATAATAACTGTTCCTCTTCTTTTCAAGGCTTTCAAATAGCTTCTTTGTGGCATGTTTTTAAAGTTCTTTGTTGCGTGGGACTTGGGCAACATTTTTGAAATAGAGTTGCTGCTGAGTGGGTATTCAAGGTCCTTTTAGAAAATTAGTAACCAGGCTTATTTTGAAATATTGATAGCAGTGGAGGCTTTTTTTGAAGCATCTCTGCCATGTACGAATAGGCATGTGTGAAACTTAATGGAGAACGCATAATTTCATTTTGATGGCTGTTGATGAATAAGATTCCCAGCATGTTTGTCCAGAATAAGCTACTGCCAAAATAGGTTCCTTATACCTAAAGGAATGCATGGAAACTTACTCCAAATATCTTTATTTTACACTGACGTGCTGGCATAGCCTTTACCACTTATGAAATGTGTTAAAAACAATAAATTGTTTCTGATATAGAGATACTTTGCACATTCATCACATCTATAGACTGTCTTTCCAAAAGTTTCTTGTGCACTTGGCCTACAATGTTGAGGCTTATTTGTATTTTATTCTGCTTTGTAAATTCCACATGTAGAACACTGTGGTCTCAGGATTGATGCAAAATAAAACTCAATGTTGTTAAGAAAAGGACATTTCAGCTGGTGTATCATGCATCACAAGCAAGACTTGCTGCATTTCCCACTTTTGCATATCCCTTCATGGTTAATTCTGCCCACATTCAGATAATCCTCTCTTTTCTAGTGCCCCTTGGATTCAGCTACATTCCATATTTTGTATGTTACGTGATCAGCCATACTTCTATAATCTTGTTTATCATCTCATAAACATGAGATAAATGTTAACGTGAAAGGTTAACTTTTGTTATTATCTAGATAAAAACAAATATTAAAGATTCTACTGACCATTTAAAATTGAATTAAGGATATAGTCTCACTCTTTTTGAAAGCAGCTTCACTTTTTCTTAATTTATTTTATAATTTAATATTATATATATGAGACTGGAAACAAACTGTGGAAGATTTACACCCTTGAACTTTTCACTGGCCTGAGTCATATTTTTGCTAATATTGAATTTTTATTATTCTCTGAAATGTTATGATTTAATTTGAAAATTAAAAGTAATATTATTACTTTTGTTATATTAAATGTTTGCTGTTTGTATTCCCCAAGCCCTTAACTTTCTTAACAGTTAAATAATCATTTCTATTTTCTGAAAATGCTTTCGGAGTAACATGCTGTTAAGTGGCTGTTCAGCTTTGTTTTATTTTTATATCCAAAGGCAAATTTTAAAACCCGTTGTAATTATTTGTGTAAAGTAGTAGTTTAATGTGAAAGAGACTTATTTTTGTTATAATAAATATGTTAAAATATATGCTTGTGTTTATTGCTTTTTTGAAATACTGTGCAGATCAACACAGATGAATTTACACTTGCACTGCATTGCCAGGCAGAGTAGTTATGGTCAATTAATACAGCCCTCATCCTCCCTACATAATTGCTATTTGTGTGTAATATGAGCAATCAAAACTAGTGCAGTCAACAATTGTAGAGGATAATTTGCAGGAGCCACAAGTAATACATTTCAGAAAACTTGATTTATTGTTGTGCATCTCTGGAATAATTGAAATAAAATACTGGAATGTTGTAAAAATTATTTAATGAGACCTTTTGCAATCAGTACAAAAACTTAAATACAAAATTATTTTCATTTTTTATTTCTTCATCCTAGTAATCTGGCCTAAAGATCTTTAAATTGCCCATTGCTCTCAAATAGTTTGTGCTGAAATGCATTAAGATTTGAATAATGGAAATTCCCCTTATGATTTGTATACATCCCCTATATTAGGATAATCTTTCAATTAAGCATGAAAATTTCATTTAAGATGTAGGAACAATAAGGATTAGTCTATTGGAATGTTTAAAACAAATGTGTTATGTAACACTGAAAAAGCACATGGAAGTTAAATAACTCATAGATTACTTTTCCTATTAACACCCCTGTCAAGGAAAAATCATAAGCTATCAAAGGAACTAGAAGGGCCAAATTCATTAATTCCTCACCTCCTATACAACTAGAAGTAACTTCTTTTCCATAGATGCTTCTACTCACACCAACCATCTGAATGAGGAATAAGGTGTGCAAATGAGTGTTTCATCCATGTAGGGCTACTCTAGCTATATGGCTGCCATGAATAAAAGTTAGTTTTGTTAGGTATGGCAGAAAGGGAGTCCCTTCTCCCTTTTCAAGCTTTTCCTGAATATATCCTTTGTCTATAACTTTTCAAGTAACAAGAGCAGAGATTAACTTGGTTAAATCCTGAGTGGAGATTAGACATTCTCATTTTAACAAAGTCTCCCCAGGAGTCCTTGCGCTTCTTGAATACATGCAATCAATGAGAGCTGGACAACCCTACACATGCACCTGTTTGATGTGGATCAAACAGGTGGCACTGCATATAATGCTTTTGAAATTTGGATAGTTTTCATCACAAGATTTCTGTTAAGCAGAAGAAAGGATGAATTTAGTCCTTTGCAGTTCCTCCTGTTAAGCAACAATCCACACGATAATTTCTTGATCAACAGAATAATCCCAGTTCCAGTTCTTACACATGCAAATATTGTTCAGCAGAGGCACAGGATTTCAGCATGATCTATTCAGGTACATCTGTGTTCTTCAAGTATCCTTCTAGAGTCTGTGTTACACTGAAAAGCTTAACTGAAAATGGTAATTGGGAGTATTTTCTACTGGGACTTACTAATACTTTGAAACAGTTATGGAAATCCTTCTCATGTGTTAATCTTTTGAGGACTGTTAAATTGATAAGAAAATAAAAATGAAGCCTTTCATCAGTAACTTCATGCTTCTGAAATGGGTTGCTATGCAGGATCTATCGTTGCAAGCTTAGGAATTCTGAGTTATTCTCTTTACTCATTCATGTACATCTTTTAATGGACTAGTTTAGGTTTCATATGGTTTAGATTTTAAAACTGCCAGTGCTGGATGTTTGTTATAACTGCTGTATATTTGTTGATTTTCATTTTTTTTTTGCTGTTTTATTCTTGAATAGGATTTATTATGTCAACAGCACTTTGAAGACTTTTATCTTTAGTAGCAGACTGGAAATAATTGATGTATTATTATGGTTGGTTGCACAGTCAGCCAGATTTTAAGACTTAATTTGGCATTGTTATCACCTATTAAATTATTCTGAAGTACCTGGGATAGACAGATGTTGTTTGATGGTGTTACCCATTGTAGGAGGTAAGCCGTTCCAAATAAAGCTGCCTTTTGCAATTTACTGAGGGTAATTTTGTCAATCGTGCTAAATTGGTGCTCCAGATGTTTTGGGATTGCATCCAAGATGCCTATTACTATTGGTACTAGTTTTCCTCTCTTTTGCCATAGTCATTCTGCTTCTATTTACCAGTCTTTGTAGTTTTTTATTTTCTCCAGTTCTTTCTCTTCTCTTCTGCTGGGCAATATGTACCATCCAGACTGTTTTGTCTTATCAACAGTTGTGACTGGGGCAAGTATGTTTGTATATTTGAATTCTAAAATCCCAGACACTTTATCTTCTTCACATTTTATTACTAGTATTTTGTGATTCTATCAGTTCATGCTTAAAGGCAAGTGGTATTTCTTGCAGATGTTCCAATGCACCATTGTTGCTATTTTGTTAGGCCATTGTTTGTTGTTAGTCTGTGTGAATCTTTTAGGAGTTTACACAGTGAAACAGTGTTTCTTCAGGTTCTTTGCAGCGTTGACATTTGCTTTCTGTTGCTGGCTTCTCAATTTTAGTGTTGCATGGATTTGTTCTTGTGTAGCCAGAATTAGCCCCTCTGTCTCTTTCTTCAGCTTTTCTATTCTTATTTGCTTTGTCTGCCCCTTTTTTTTTAACGTACTGGCCATGTAATACTTTGCCATGCCATGTCTCTTTTTATTATTATTATGTACACAACAATGTGAGATGCCAGTTCTTTAGCTGTGTTGGCCTTCATACACACTGATTTCTTTTCAAGAATCCAGGATGTCATAATTATTGGCATAATATATGTGTGGCACTAATAATCAATACAAGTTATTATGTATGTGATATTAAGTTGGTGTCAATTCTTGGCAACCAGATAGACTTTATTCAGGATGAAATAATAGCCACAGTATTTTGCTGCTCCCACATATATATGAATTTCTAATCTCCATATATTTAAAAGCCAAAATAGGCATTTAGGAATACTCCATAAGATACAGTAGATGAAATGAAGATAGTTACTCTATTATATGGCATTGCTTTTATGCAACTCATATGGATTACAAAATTTACAAAACTAAAGGACTGTGCTATTCTCAGTCATTGCTAGCCACATTTGTTAAAGGACAAATGAAAATGAATAAGCTTCCATTTTGAGCATATCAAACATCCAGTCCTATCATTTCTTGATCAACAATGATTTCCAAATGAAAAATGATTACTTATTGGCTATTTGTGTATCAGATAATTCAGCCTTACCTGGTTTCAAATGCACCTTGCCATTTTCTATATTTATTTTCTGTGATCCATAGGTCAAATATGCAACTGTTATTCTGTGCTGCACTAACATTACTTGGTTTCTAAATACCCTTCTTCCTCTTAAGTCATTGATTTAAAATATTCCATAAACCAATCTGGAAATATAAACATTTACTTGCAATATAAATATGACCTATTGCTTGCTGGGGAAAAAAAGCAATGCCATGGATTTCAGTCAATTTGCAAATAATTAAATTGCTTTCTAACACTGAGATTTGTCCTTTTCTACTATTTTTGTCGATATGACCAGATTAAAATCTTCACATAAAAATAGAAATTTTGGTAAAGAGAAATTGGTACATGATTACGAAGTCTTCTTTAAGTCATTGCAGTTTTTGTTATAAACAAATCGTTATAGTGTTATTATAGAATAAACGTTTGTTTCTTGGTCTGTCGCCTTCCATTTGGAAGTTTCACCCTAGAAGCAAGTGATCAGTAAGCACTTTATGTAAACCCTGACATGACATAATTTTTAATGCAAAGAAGCAGACAAATGTTGAAAAGATTCATTGTACAGCAGCAAGCCAATTAACACTGGGCTTATCAATAGTTCTTCTTTATAATGAGCTGTACATATAATGTTTAAATTTGTAATTTTATTTTAATATTGTACATGTTGGTCCAAAAAATGATCAATAAATGCACCTTTCAATGATATAGATTTGGAAACACAAAAAAGACCTTTCATTTCATCTGAGTGTGCAGTTTACATTGGATACAATAAATATCCAGAAAAAGATGAGTGAACGTATTGCCCAGCATAAAGTCCTGCAGCCTGTTCAGATGGCATCTGGATATAAACTCTGTCACCATGCATCAGCTGGACAACGGCACTTCCGGAAGCTTGGTCCAGGAAACCTTTCTTGTATTCATCATACGTGTACATCAATGGCTCATTGTTTTTAAATAATGCCACCCAAACATTTCCCCCTTTGCAGTGTATGTGGTAAACGAAGTAGTAGATCCCAGGGATTTCACAGGTAAAGACACCAGTCTGTGGATTATAATTCTGCCTGCCATTATAAAGGAGCTTGTCAAACATCACAGGAACCCTGACCCGTGGAAAAGGAGTGGTGAGCTCAGCTGTGAAAGCTGGCATTTCATAGGCGGTGGCAGCAGCGGCGGCAGCAGCAGCACCATTTTTGCTTTTCTTCCCCTTATAACTATATGGAGTCTTTATTCCATCAAGACCTGGCCCCACCTCTGGCAAATGTCCCATTGCTGGTGGTGTAGGTTGCATTATTACTGGAGGGCCAGGGGGGCCAGGGGGGCCAGGAGGTCCTTGGAGACCTGGCTGACCAGGAGCACCAAGTGATCCAGGTTTCCCTGGTGGTCCAGGCATCCCTGCAATACCAGGTTTTCCCATTCCCGGAAAACCTGGTGGGCCTGGCAAACCCCGTTCACCTTTAACTCCAGGTAGTCCGGGAGGTCCAATTGGGCCACTTGGTCCTGTAATACCTGGGATTCCAGTAGGGCCCTGATGGCCTTGAGTTCCTGGCTTTCCAGGTTCTCCCTTGGGGCCCATCAGCCCATGAGCACCAGGCAAACCTGGTAAACCTTTGTGACCAGCTTCTCCTTTTGGTCCAATTGGACCAGGCAAGCCTCTCAGACCCGATGGGCCCACCTCTCCTGGGAAACCAGGTTTCCCTGGGAAACCTTGCAAACCAAGGTCACCTTTGGGACCAATAGGTCCTGGAGGCCCTACAGCTCCAATTTCTCCTTTTGGACCTGGGAATCCCATCACACCTGAGGGCCCCATTAATCCAGGCTGACCTGGTTGGCCTGGTTCCCCTGGAGGCCCAGCCATGCCAGGTGGGCCCACGTGACCTTTTTCACCCTTAGGTCCCAGTGGGCCTGGAGCACCACCCATGCCTCGTTCACCTTTAAGACCAGGGAAACCTGGCTTTCCAATCCCAGGAGTACCAGGTTGTCCTGGTAAACCTGGCAAGCCTTGTTCACCTTTCCCACCTGGCATGCCTGACTGCCCTGGGATTCCATCTTGTCCTGGCTTCCCTATACCTGGAAGACCAGGAGGACCTTGAATTCCAGGAACCCCAACTAAACCCCGTGGCCCTGGTTCCCCTGGAATTCCTGGCTTGCCTAAAGCTCCCTGAGGGCCTGGAAACCCTATCATTCCTGGTTTGCCTATCCCAGGAAGTCCAACAGGACCAGGGGGACCTGATAAACCAGGTGGCCCTTTTAGCCCTGGTAACCCTGGAATCCCCACACCTTTATCTCCTTTTGGGCCTTGGGGGCCTTGTACCCCAGGTTGCCCTTTCATTCCTGGCTCACCCTTTGCTCCTGGTTGTCCCGGTAATCCTCTGTCACCTAGTTTTCCTATTCCAGGCAGTCCTTGAGGTCCTGGTGGTCCTTGGGGTCCTGGAATTCCCATAGGTCCACTCTCCCCCTTTGGCCCCATTTCACCTCTTGATCCTGGAGCTCCCATTACTCCTGGCTTTCCTGGCATTCCAGGCATGCCTGGTTTTCCAATTCCTGGGTATCCTTGTGGTCCTGGTTTTCCTTTAGCTCCTGGTACTCCATGTCCTGGCAGCCCTGGAGCTCCTGGAGGGCCTCTTGGTCCAGGCTCTCCAGGAGGACCCTGCTCACCTCTCAAACTGGCCAATGGCAATTCTGCTTTTTAAAGAGAGAAAGAGAAAGAAATAAAGGAATAGTAACGTTCATCTTGACTGCTTAGATGTCACCAATATGCTTCAAGAAGAATTGATGTACAGTATCAACTTACTAGTTGGATTATTTTTACAGAATAGTTGATGTTCAAAGAAAAGATGGACTACCTCCTTTCAAAGAGCATTACCAATTTTGTGAAAAATGCTCCTGGCCCCCATTTTATTTTATTCTCCTAAATTGTTCCTAATGAATTATACCCATATTCAAGTTGATATTTTTATGTGTTTTTCTGCAGCAAAGTCTAGAAAAGTAAAGAAAAATGACTTGTTGGAAACGATCACTTTGTAACTTCTCCAAGTCTGGAAGATAAGACTATGAAAATGGGAATGGATGAGATGCACTCCCCTGCCACTCTCAGTATTTCACTAAAATTTTCTAGTGAAAGTGTCAATGTCTTCTATTGCACTAAAGACAACAAGCTGTATAGGCTATGGGACACACATAGGCCTTTGCTTGCCAATGGCCTCTCACCTTTAAGACCAGGGAAACCTGGTTTTCCAATCCCAGGAGCACCAGGGGGTCCTGGCAAACCTGACAAGCCTTGTCCACCTTTTCCACCTGGGGACATGCCTGACTGTCTTGGAATTCCATCTTTTCCTGGCAGAATCTGCCATCTGAGGCAGCCATTTCACTCTGCCTAAGGCAGGTATAAGAACATTTTGGTAACAGGGCAGAATAAACTTTACATTTGGAAATGGATGAGGAAAATGACCAATTTTGGTGGCACAACTAGAAATAGAGAGTTGAAAACAAGGGATGTTTAAGCATCTGGGCTTGTTGCCAACTCTCTCTCCAACGTGAGCTTATAGCTGTTTCAGAATAAATGCACAAGCAGTCTTCCCTTTTCCCAAAACCAAAAAAGAGAAAAGCTCAACAAAATATTCTTCATGTATGTTGATTTTTGATGTTTGCAATATATTCTACGCATTTGGGCAAAGTAATATTGAATATATGAAATTTGCCTTCTCTTCCATCCTGTATAATGTAATAATTAGGATTCTGAACTAGGACCAGAAAGACTCATTTTCAAATCTAGCTTCAGCTATTGAAGCTCATCAGGAGACCTTAGTCCAGTCATTAAGCCCAACCTACTTGACATCTTGCCCATATTACCTTTCTGTTTCTTTGAAATCCTCTCCTTGCCAAGCATGGGAATCTGTGGAATTTCTTTTATATACTGAGGTATATATTCTTTTCCATATGATAGGTGCGACCCCTCCTTTCCCATGTGCTGCATTGGCACTCCATCTTTACCCAATGGCATGTGAGGTACTTGTTGCCCAAGGGGTTGGTACTGTGGCAGTTGAGGAGGCATCTGCTTGATCCCATAATAAGCACCAGCTTGGATAGATCTCAGTAGCCCAAGGTAAATGATTAGCCATGTAGGTGCTAGCAATAGAGCCATAATCTGCAACAACAAATAAATCATTCTGAATAGAATAAAAGCAAGAACAAATGTGGGAAACTTAATCTTGGACAATGAAAATTATCCCCCCCCTCCAAAAAAAAATCACTGGTAAAAGGATCTTTCCTTCTGGTAAGCTTTTTAGCCAGAGCTGGTTGTAGGTCTTATGGGCCCCTATACTATTTCTGACATTTTAGCTTTGGAAGCATAATGATAATTACCAACTGCTAATTATATTTATAATATTGCTTTGAACATTGTTCCACTACATTGCAGAATAATTTGCAGTGGAAATATAATTTGTGTTTACAACAGTGCTTTCAAAGATGTTTTGATGGAAAAAATAGGGGGAGGGGCTTTCAAGATTTTTGTTAAAATGTAATTATTTTGAAAAAAAGAGAAAGAAAAGACAAATGCCTAGAAATTATAAATACAGATATTTCATAGAAAGGTTTGTATAGTAATATACCAAAATATTAAACTAAATTATGAAATAAGATAACATTAAAAGAAAGTATGAATATACTGACAAATTTGAAATGACAGCACGTGTTGAGTCTTTTAGGGGCAGAGTATGTGGCAGGAAGAATCTCTGTTTAAGGATCCCTGTGTTATTTCTGTGCTGGAGAATTCTTCATTGAGAGAGCCCTTTCTCCTGAAGACTTAGTTGTCCCAGGAGAATAACTGTTTCAAGGAACCATAAGGTACAGCTGAAGAGTTCAGGGCTTTCAGAAATTGTCATCCCAGGTCTGATGCCCTACAAGATTGAGAGCCATGTTTAAGTGAGGAAAAATAAAAACACATCATCCAGATCACAGGCACACACCATCTTGTGAAGATGAGTTTTCTCCAGTTTATCCAATAATGCCTATGATTGGAGCCTAAATGTGGTAGTACAAAATATAATGCAAAAGGGTCAGTATTTGTAAGAAAAAAAATCCCTTAAAGTTTTGTTTCCTGTATTGATGTTTGTAAATTAGGAATGCTCTTTTGATACAGGACCAAAATTTCAAAGAAGAAATGGTAAAATTGCTCAAGAAATCTAGTCTGTTTTACAAAGTCACTGTAATGCTATAGAAATACATATTTCATTTTACATGGTCTCAGAAAATAGTATACTATTGTCATGAACTATTACATAAATACTTTGGTTAATCTGCTTTTAAAAAGAGTTCTTACTCTTCATTGGTCTATAAGAATTGGGTTCGTATTGAGTAACTTTCAATTGCAGTCCTATAAGTTGGTCTCTTCTTATTAAACCAAGCACTTAGGACCAGCTGTCTAGTTTGTTCAAATAATTTAATGTGTAATGACTTGTGAATCAGTTTTCTTCAAGTCTTATACATATACATGTATAACTGAAAACTGATACGCTAACCATTACACATCTAAATTATGAGTATTTGATATTTGAATGCCAATATTAGCATCATCAGGGCTTTCTTGTCACAAAATAACATGAATTAGCCCATGTAATAAATGTTACTAATCTTCAGTCCCATTAATAGTACTTTTGCCTTCACTGCAAACATATTTCTGGATGTTTTTGCACTGCTTTTTTGTTTTCTGAAAGAGAGCAAGTCTCTGAATATTATGTTCTCAGCTTCATGCTTGTTTGTCCAATCTGTGAACATCTGAACATCTGGTCTGCTCCCAAGTAAGCATACCAGTCTAGTAGACCTGTGGCCCTGAGATTATTAGAATAACCAAAAATGACAACTGATAAAGGTCTCAATGGCACTTGGAAACGGCTCCAGAAAAAAAAAAAACATGCCAAACTACCATAGAGACTATGCCTGGAATAAATCTCATAACATGCTTCTTTTATTCCATAGTTCCCTGTTTGAAACTAACGAAAATCGAAAAACAGTGATGACTTATTGTTCCTAATAAAACTAATTTTTGTTATTTGGAAAGCATTCAGAGATTTGCAAACCACCAGTTGTAACAGTCATAAATTCAAGCATTTGCTTAACATTTTTAATGTTCACTTACGGTACTCCTCAAAGATATTTCAGGAGCCCTTTGCTTCTCATCTTTTTCTGCTGCAGTATTTCAGCAAAAGATTCCATTAGTTGTATTCACCCCTAAACCTGTCTAAATCCTCAGTAAATTTAAATAATTTAGTAGTACATAACTTGTATGTGTGTTAGTCTTAGATTGTTTCCTAACTGTTTGGTGGTGACAATAAACTTATTCATGAACAGCTTCCTATATGAAGAATCACCCTTTCTGGCGAGCAAGCCTTTAATCAGGAATATATGAGGAACTCTTCTTTGAAGCTTCATGTCTTTCTAAGCTGTCCTAGTGTCTAACTCTCTCCTTAAAAATATTCAGGGAAAGGGTACATGGAATTATTTCTAAAGTATAATAATAATTACTATGTGAAAGGTGGCTTCAGACACAGTACTAAATCACAATGGTTGGCTTAATGCAGTGTATGAACTCAGATAACTGCTATTAGAAAATATAGTTTAAAGTAATCACTAAGCAGTGATTACTTTCACCAACTTTCTAAATAGACACTCCTTTTGCCTGTAGGAGCACAGATAACTACACAGAGATCTTGTTTCAGCACTTACCAAGAGGGTCAGTAAAAGTCTGCAGAAATAATAATTTCCTCTGAAGTAAACTGGCCTGCCTGTGAAATACTACATACAGATAATATAAGCTGCCCACATCCCACAGAAATGATTATGAATCTTTCACAATTCATGGACGGCAGAAAATAGAAACTAAAAAGCAATATTGGTATTTGTACACTAGATGGAGTGTTTGTTTCAAGATTCTGAAATTCCTTTATTTAACTAACATTCATTTCAAAAATAAGGTGTGCTTATGGAATAATAAAAATGAAATTGTTATCAACTGCCCAACATTCCAATATCTTCCTTCAAGATAAACTTCCTTTCCAAGAAAATCATACTTTCTTCAGCATTCAAATTTCAGTACTTGATTATGTGATATATTGTTCTGCAATTATTACAGTCTCTTAACACAGCTGGAAAAGCACAAAGCTTCAAACAGAATAGTTTTACTTCAAATAAATCATATTCTTCAATGAAATATAATGGGCAGGGAACTAAAACCTCAGGAATTTAGATTCATTTTTGGCACATATTTTCCTATAAAAGTGAAAGTTAAGAACAAGCAACTTGGAATTTGGAGGCCCACATACTGTATATCGTATTAAAATAGCTGAAAAGCACATACTGTGCAAATCCATAATTACACCCAGCTTTCATTCTTTGGTTTTAGTCAACAGTTTAAAGTCAGCTACTAAGGACTGGAAAAGAGCTGATGTTGTTCCCATCTTCAAAAAAGGAAAAAAAATGGATCCAGGAAATTACAGACCTATCAGCCTGACCTCAATACCTGGGAAGATTCTGGAAAAGATAATCAAACAATGAATCAGCAGATACCTAGAGGCAAACAAAGTCATTACCAAAAGCCAACATGGGTTTGTCAAAAACAGATCATGCCAGACAAATCTTATTGCATTCTTTGACCAAGTGACAAAATTAGTGGATCAGAGGAATGCTGTGGATATAATTTACTTGGACTTCAGTAAGGCATTTGATAAAGTAGATCACAGCCTACTACTTGATAAGATAGAAAAATGTGGGGTAGACAGCATCACCACCAGATGGATTCGTAGCTGGCTGACTGGCCGTACTCAGCATGTGGTCCTCAATGGAACTGCATCTACATGGAGAGAAGTGTGTAGTGGGGTGCCCCAGGGCTCTGTTCTAGGCCCAGTGCTCTTCAACATCTTAATCAACAATTTGGATGAGGGGATAGATGGGGGAACTCATCAAATCTGCAGATGACACCAAGCTGGCAGGAATAGCCAACACTCTAGAAGACAGGCTTAAGATACAGGAAGATCTGGACAGACTTGAAACTGGGCACTATCTAACAAAATGAAATTCAATGGTGAAAAAAGTAAGGTTCTACATTTAGGCAAGAAAAACAAAATGTACACTATAGGTGGTACCTTGCTCAATAGTAGTAACTATGAGAGGGATCTCGGAGTCCTAGAGGACAATCACTTAAATATGAGCCAGCAGTGTGCTGCAGCTGCCAAAAAAGCCAACACAGCTGCATTAACAGAGGGATAGAATCAAGATCACATGAAGTGTTAATACCACTTTACAATGCCTTGGTAAGGCCACACTTGGAATACTGCATCCAGTTTTGGTTACCACGATGTAAAAAATATGTTGAGACTCTAGAAAGAGTACAGAGAAGAGCAACAAAGATGATTAGCGGACTGGAGGCTAAAACATATAAGGAACGGTTGCTGGAATTGGATATGTCTACTTTAATGAAGAGAAGGATGAGGGGCGACATGATAGCAGTGTTCCAATATCTCAGGGGCTGCCACAAAGAAGAGGGAGTTAAGCTATTCTCCAAACCGCCTGAAGGCAGGACAAGAAGCAACAGATGGAAACTAATCAAGGAGAGAAGCAACCTAGAACTAAGGAAAAACTTCCTGACAGTTAGAACAATTAACCAGCAGAAAAATCTGCCTCCAGAAGTGATGAATGCTCCAACACTGGAAGTTTTTAAGAAGAGACTGGACAGCCATTTGTCTGAAATGGTATAGGGTTTCCTGTCTGAGGAGGGGGTTGGACTAGATTACCTCCAAGGTCCCTTCCAACTTTATTATTATTATTATCGATCATCGCACAGTCAGCCAGATGTTCAGACTGGATTTGGCATTTTGTCTACCTATCGAGTCCTTACCCAGGACCTGGGATAGGCAGATGTGGATGTTTGATGATATTACAGATATCGTCGCAGGATGGAAGCAGTTCCTAGTAAGGCCGCCTTTTGCAATTGACTAATAGCGAATTTGTCAATGCCAATGGTGTTCAAGTGGTACTCCAGTTGTTTTGGGATTGCACCCAAGGAGCCTATGACTATTGGTACTACCCTTGCTTGCTTTTGCCACAGTCTTTCTATTTCTGTTTGTAGGTCTTTGTATTTTGTTATCTTCT